ACCTCCACATATCTGTGCTAAAAATGATTTCACTACCCAAAATGACCAATAATGATGCCCATAAAACGCAAGCCCCCTAATCATCTTGTTCTTTCTATTTTTCTGTGTCGTCAAGGTCCTATCATAACATGAATTTTCTCCAAAGTGACCCCATTAATTTTACATATCATCCTCATGGTGGAAGGTATAAAAATTTTTACTTTGTTCTCATTAGATTTTATTCGCCTGAGCAAATTAAACGTTTGTCTTTCCAGTACAAAACGTCGTTAAATTCAGTCGGCCCAAATTTGTTATACCTTCCACCCTGCAGTGGACATTCAAAAATTCCAAAACCGATCGGGTCTTTCAAGAGAACAATTATGAAATATCTCTAGGAGTTACAAACGAAATGGCAAATTGGTGTACGATAATATTTTTTTAAACATTCAATTAAACACGTCATTTATTTAATTCAAGTAATTTATTGAATAAATACTCAATTCTATTACTGTGTAATTTTTAAAATATGTACAAATATCACAACTATCTTCCCTGACGTGATGAAACAATAACATGTCTTATGTAGGCAGGATACCAAACCAGCGGTGGTGTACTGCAATTGGAATCATGCACGTGAATATCGGAAACCATTGCATCTGGACTGAAATAAATTTTGGAAGAAATATAAAATTTAATAGTTGACTAATGTACAAAAAGTGTTGGCCACCAGTTGTGCTCGTGCGTCCGTGAGAAAGAAAAATTGACAATTTTAACGAAAAAATGTGCATACAATTACTACAGTTTGAGTGCGATTTTTAACTATAAAATTGTATACCAATAAAAATAGTAGAAGGACAAATAGAAAAATGTCATGTCCTTGCAAAATTAGTTAATGACTATTTTTAAATGCCTTAGATTCTCATTTCCAGAACTCTCCCACATTAAGAACTAGAAGCACAAATTCGTCATAAGTCAAGGATTTTAGTAATGGTGTAATGAGTTTTTTGTTTATAACTCTAAAGTTCATGCAGAAAACGTTTTATGTCTTCTAAGAAAACATCTTTCGTACCAATTTCGTAGCATGCAAATGGATAGTGCTAAAAATTTGCAATTTGGAATACGAATTAAGGTTGAGAAGTAGGGTCGATATAAGGAGGTGATTTTGAAAGCGTATACTCGTGTATACGGAAAGTACTAAATTTTGCACAACTTTAATATTGGTTGAACCAATAGAGCAGGAATCCTGAAATTTGGAGTTAAGATCACTTTTCTACTAGAGTGTACTAAATGGTACTAAATTTGATACAATTTAGATTTAGGCGAACCGAAATTTGGAATTAATTTTGGGGTATGTGGGAAGTTTAAGATTGTTAAGATATGAAGGTATGAAATTTTAAATTAATGTGTACTAAATTTGAATGTGGGCGAACCTATATTTGATTTTTTGGAAATAAGTATTACAAGAGTACAAAATGTAAAAAATGATACCAACCCAGTAAGGAATGTAGTAACGTCGGACGGGGCCGACTATATGATACCCTTAACCAAAATGGGTATATTAAACAGGACTACTAACATGAAATTGGATGAAAAAAAAATATGTGATAATTATTAAATGTGAATCTACCTACATCTATCCATAAACATGCCATTCGTTTGTTACAATGGGACAAAAGTATGTAAATCGACTTCAAACAAATATAAATAGGACATCCGTTGGGCTATGTCTCTACTTCTAGAATACGCACCTACGTAATTCTATGCTCAATTTTGTACGTTGTGAAAAATTTGATGTCAATCTGACGTTTTGTTCCTATCACCCTATTGGTTCCTTGGTGCGTCAATTACTTAAAATCTATATATATATATATATATATATATATATATATATATATATCTATATATCTAAATCTCAACCGCTTTTTACGAAACTTGGCACACATCATTTTGGACTAAATTTACATTAAATCGGACGAAAATATATATGGGAGATATATCTAAACCTTGGCCGATTTTCACGAAACTTGACCGACATCACTCTAGGCTCAATTCAGTACGTTAAAGGTCGTTTACATTTAACCGGATTTGGTTAACCCAGTGGGTTTAAATTTTCAATTCCTTTGAACATATGCCAAATAAATCCTCATAAAGTAGGTTAACCCGGTAAAAAGTTCTAATGTAAATGCCGCATTATGCCAAATTTCGTACAAATCGAAGGATATATAGAGACTTTGGTGCACCATTCACATTCAATCGGACGAAACTATATATGGGAGCTATATCTAAATCTGGACCGATTTTCACGAAACTTGGCACACATCACTTTAGGCCCAATTCAATACGTTATGCCAAATTTCGTGCAAATCGAAGGATATATAGAGACTTTGGTGCACCCATTACATGAAATCGGACGAAACTATATATGGGAGCTATATCTACATCTGGACCGATTTTCTCGACACTTGGCAGACATAACTCTAGGCTCAATTCAGTACGTTATGCCAAATTTCGTGCAAATCGAAGGATATATAGAGACTTTGGTGCACCATTTACATGAAATCGGACGAAACTATATATGGGAGCTATATCTAAATCTGGACCGATTTTCACGAAACTTGGCACACATCACTCTAGGCTCAATTCAGTATGTTATGCCAAATTTCGTGTAAATCGAAGGATATATAGGGACTTTGGTGTACCATTTACATGAAATCGGACGAAACTATATATGGGAGCTATATCTAAATCTGGACCGATTTTCACGAAACTTGGCAGACATCATTCTAGAGTTAATTCAGTACGTTATACTAAATTTCGTGCAAATCGACAGATATATGGGGTCTTTGGCGCACCATTTTCCTTAAATCGGACGAAAATATATATGGGAGCTATATCTAAATCTGATCCGACTTTTCCCAATTTCAATAGGGTTCGCCCTTGGGTCAAACAAATGAGCTGTGCCAAATTTCATAAATTTACAATTTAACACCAACAGACGGACGGACGGACATGCATAAATCGACTCAGAAAGTGATTCTATGCATATTCTCAAAAGGAACTATGGGTCTATTTCGTTTCCTTTTGCCTGTTACAAACATATGCACAAAGACATAATACCACAGTGTGGTGGAGGGTATAAAAATGTATAGAGCTAGATATCTGTTGTGGTCAGAATTGATGTGTAGTGTTGAGATATGGATGCAGTTTTGGGAAATATGTACTATTAGATGACATAGGTACAAAATGGTAGTAAAATAGTAATTTTGGTAGTTATTGGTTTTTGAATAATTCCCTCATGCGCTAACGAAGTAACGGGCATATGTAAGTTTTCCATTTGGCTCAATATTCGGTATTTTGGGGATTTTGGACACGTTTTTTAACCAAATTGGCTGCAATTTGGTATTTTAGTTCATCATTGAATAACACATATTCATAACAAAAAGTATTAATATATACCCAAGTTTCAGGGTATCCTTATAACCGTACCACCCCCCAATATTCAGTATTTTGGGGATTTTTCACCGAATTGGCTGTAATTTGATATTTTGGCTTAAATAACACATATTCGTATCAAAATTGTTTAATATAATATAACTTTTAATATATAATAATTTTTAATAATTTAATATAACGTACCCCCAATACTCGGTATTTTTGACATGTCTTTAAATCAAATTGGCTGTAATTTGGTATTTTGGGTACTCATACCGGTACCACCACATCTCCGCACTGAATATTATTAACCCTTTGAGATCCCATTTTTTCTGTGACATTAGAACTATTTTCTGTGCACAGTTTTAATGTGACAATCCTAAAGAGAATATGAACAAAATGTTGACGTCGCTACATCCTTGGATTCGGGAGATACAGTACATTTTTCCGAAAAATAAACAAAAAAAAACAATTTGGAGAGTAAAATTCGTACAGAGATTTAAATAATGTGGATTGTATACACATATTGGTACTGTATACAAATATTGGTACTGTACATATGTATTGAAAAGCGTATAACCTGACCAAAAGTTTGAATTTTTCACATTTGTAATCGAAAAAATATAAATTTACTAGCAGCGTAATCAATATAAGCTCTAAAACCTTTTTTTCCTGTGGACAACATTGGGACACAATGGGTTAATATTGACACAAGTCGGTATTTTGGATTCGCATATCAAAAACTATCAATTCATCTGCGTTTTATTATATTTGATATTTCGAGAATCATTTTTTTCACACATATATTTCGGTATGTTCAAGGCCCTATCATAACATTATTCTTTATTTATTTATCCCACTCACCAATTTCGGCTCTCTCAAGAATTTTTTTTTTTGGAAATTGATTCAAAGAATCTCTACATTCCAAATACAGAAGTTGTTTTAGTACACTTTTCTTTCGGTATTGACTTTTAAAAGATCGATACCCTGATCTATTGGCTGATTTAATGACGTCGTATTTGCTGCCTGTTACCTTTTGACAGGCTGTTTTGTCAAAAAAAAAGAATGAATTGGTTTCCCAATATCTTTATATTTGGAGCACAGCTCTACCTACTTTTGGCCCATATATATCCAGCATTTTTTCTGACTTATCAGCCAATGTTCCGAAAATTAGGCATATATTTTTCAATTAAGCGGAGTTGTTTTCAAAGGAAGTGACGGCAACAGTGTTTCTCAAACTTTAAACGCGTATTTCTCAGCAAAACTCAAGAGTCTCGCCATAAAATATCTGAATGACATTCCATGAATATTTAAAGAAAACTTTTCTTATCAACAGATTAATGGTGTTTTCATTTATTGAATTTTTTTCAATAAATGCTTCTTGAATTATAAATTTAAAAAAAAGAACTTGTTTATAAAGTAAAAAGTGCACGTTGTGTATTGAAAACAAAACAAAAAAATTAAAGTATCTGCTGTTTGTGTTTCTCTTTTTCTTCTTCTCCGACTAAATACACATTTAAAAATTGCTACAAAGGTGTTGCATTCAGCTGAGTGCTGGGCGAATGTTTGTTTTTGCGTTCTGATGTTGTTCTTGCCATGTTAAATAAAATTCGTTTATTTTCACTTTACTATTCATCCTTGCGTTCGGCAGGCACCTCCCAATAGAGTTCATCCTGATGCTGTTCGTCCTTTTGTAACTTCCGGAAGCCGGTGTACTTCAGTGCCAAACCTGTTGTGTGTTTGAGTTGGTCACCATAGATATAGAGGAGGCCCACACACACACACACACGCACACCAATAAATGTGCCATAGTTCCCGACCAAAGCCCATATGACCGGTGACCGGAAGATAAAGTTAACAAAGTTTTCGTGGTTATTGGCCCCATACAGCCGTTTGTAGATGACGACGACAACGACAACGCCGACGGAGATGATTATGATGTTGTTGTTATTGTTGGCATAACATAGGAAATCAAGTCAAGCCATTGTGTAAATGGGGCAGTGTAAAGGATGAGAACAAGAGGAAGGAAAAATAAATTATTATATATTTTATATTAAATGCTGGACCATTTCCTACTCAATATAGATGTGTAGGGATTACCCACCTGCTAATATACCACCAACTATGGCAACCAGAACAGTCATGGCAATACCGAAAAGTTGATAGCCAGCCTGTTCACTGGCGGTGCGGCCATAGCCCTGAAATAAAGTGGTAAAAGAAATAATTATTTAAAAATCTAAAAAAAAAATTAAATAATAGTTAGAAAAGGCCTATTGGTATTCCCAATAAAATTGTTCTTTTTGATAAAAATTATATTTAGGGAATTAACGAAATCCAATCCCCGACTCATTTCATATTATAGGAGATTATTGATATTTTCGGAGTCTCAATAAAGTTTTTACATAAATATATTCTTGATATAAATAAGCATCATCTACGCTGCAACTGGTCATGGCTATGTAACATTCATTTGTGCCTCTTCTGCATATTGCTTATACAGAATTTACTTTTTGGCAAATTCGAGTATACAAATGTTTCGTGTATCCGTATATACTTACCCCCATTATATGGACTGTTGCATCGTTTTCGGTCATGTTGTTGGCTGATATTTCCGTTTCATTCAACATTGCTGGAAAGATAGAGCCCAAATCGGATTTGTATTCTTCTCTAGTCACCATCAATGCATAAATGGCCGAGGCAATGGCTGAGATTAGGGCCGGCATGCCATGGAGATTATGTACGCCACAGGTGTCGTGTAAACGTAATTTCTCTGTGAAAAATGGCTGGAATATTGTCACAAAAGGGATGAGGAAGAGAATGAAAAGAAGAAGAAAAAATAGAAACAAGAGATTAGAAATTGTTGCAAAATAAAGTTTATTTAGATTTTTTCCGTTGGCTAAGCAATTTTTATTTTTGTGTTATATATTAATATGAAAAAGTTTTGTTTTTGTACGTGTCTTGTTTGACAATGTGTAAACAGAAGTTTAATAAATGTTTAGGTTTTACTATGAAAATTTATGATTTTTGTTCAAAGAGTCCTGTTGCATTGTTTGCGATATGTGGCTGGAAAATTTAGTAAAGGTAAATTTAAAGCAACAACTTCAAAAATGCGAAGACATGGCAAAATGCATTTTGGAAACCCTATTTGTAGAGAAAAACGTTTAGAGGTAAATGCAACACCGACTGTTGCCGTTGCATATATCCTCAGCTTATGACAAATGTATTAATCCTGACTATTGTAAGATATTTTGTTTGTACGGAATTAATAAATAAATAAATAAAATAAAAAATAACAATAACAAGTGAAAAAGCGTTAAGTTCGGCCGGGCCGAACTTTGGATACCCTCCACCATAGATATACTGACAGGTACTTGACAGGTACAAACTGATTATGTAAACCATAATTTCAGCAATTTTTAATGAATATTTATACCCTCAACCTTATGGCTAATGAGGGTGTATAGACTTTGATACAGTGAAAATGTGCCTCGTCGAAATATTGGTTCTAGATCCACGTTTTTTTGGACCAAAACCATTTCAGATAATTTTGATTTTATCCAAACTTTGTTCAAGTTCGAAGCTGGGAAATATCGATCCACTCCTTCTGGTACGTCCCATACAGGGGCTAGGCCTAAATCCGGGCTATAGTTCATATATAATACATTATCGAACCTTACGTTCTATCCTCCGCAGGTGAAATGATTACACCAGAGTCTTTGAACCAAACCCAAAACGCAGAACAAATCAGATAACTATTTTAATATAAAACAAGTGAAAAAGCGTTAAGTTCGGCCGGGCCGAACTTTGGATACCCTCCACCATACATATACTGACAGGTAAAATGATTACAACAGAGTGTTAGAACCAAACCCAAACACGGAACAAATCATATAACTATTTTACTATAAAAAGGGGGTTATATGGGGACGACCCCAAAAAGGGGGCGAATATTTAAACTTTTTGGTAGAGAGATTTGTTACCATATACGACTTCATAATACCAAATTGCAGCGAATTCGATTGAAAAGCGCACTCAAGAACCCCAAAATACCGAAAATTGGGGGGTACCCTTATATGGGGGCTATCCGAAAAAATTGACCTATATTTATAATTTTTCGTGAAGTGATTTGGTACCTATTAAGTACTCTAAATACTAAATTACAGCCAATTCGGTGGAAAAAATAGATCAAAACCCCAAAAATAATGAAAATTAGGAGGTACCGTTATATGGGTGCTACCAGAAAAAGTGGACCTATATTTATAATTTTTTGTGGAAACATTTGGAACCCAATAAGAACTCAATGTACAAAATTTCAGCGTATTCGGTACATTTTGCACTTGGGGAGTTTAGGCACGATGGTTTCATCCTTCGGTCTAGGTTTCTTAAAAATATGACAACGTGCAAAGTTTAAATGAAATTAAAGATTCCGGTTGATTCATATGAGATTTATTTTTTTTTTTCAAAATTTGGCACTTAGGAAGGAAGGTGCCAGAATGAGCAGAGAAATGGATCCCATCTTCGAACTTGATCGAGGTGTTGTTGGAATATTATGATGGGTTAAAGTTTCGATCAAACCGGACACTCCACTCTAATTTCATTCAAAAATTTAAAAAAGAACTGCTTTAAAAAAGAGGTGAGACCAATGGCTTTCATCTTGACTTGGACTCGAATAATTCATTCTCATTATAATTTTGACGATTTTGTGAGGGAGGCATCAAAAGTAGTAGACCGATATTCCACACCTTCAAAGTTTATTCAAGGGGATCCCCCATTCTCGGTTTCAAAAAAATTAATTTTGTGTTTTGATATAATTTGTCCCAATAAATAAAGTCCAGTGAAAATCTCAAAAACTCTTGAAGCCGATTTATTGTGTTGGCATCACTTTAAACGCGCGATTCTCAAACTTTATACGCGCCTCAGAACATTGCTTTTATGAATGGCGGGCTCGATATCTCAAAAACTAATAACCCAATCGATTCCAAATTTGGACACGTTTCTCTGTGAGTGTTTAACTATCGCATGAACTAGGATAAATCCAATCGGTAAAGATCTCCCTTATATTTTTAACTTAGATTGTGGTCAGAAACAGACAATTTCAAAGGTCTGCCATTTTGTTAATTTCTGAGCGAAGTCAATAATCCTAGTATCATACGAAAGGCATGTACTCTTTCGAACATCGTTATAATTTCCAGATTCCTATGTTTCAGTCCAAATTTCAATATTTAGCGTATCAAATGAACCCTGACTTTTGATCCAAGAAGAGGAGTATTTGACCTTTAAATTGAACCAATGTGAGAGTAACACTTAAATATGAACATGTGTCGACGCATTCAGATATTATTTCCATTACCGAATTAGAGGTCGAAAATATAGAGCTGATCGCTTTGAAATTTTGCCCGAAGTTCCAGTTTTGGTCAAGGTGTTGATCAGATAATAATTTGGGGTTGAAATGGAGCAAAAACTTAACTTTTTTCTTTTTTTCTGCGAATCCTCGGTGAAGGGTATCTGGACAAGTAATTAGAAGTGCTGTACTGAATATTATTCGGAAAATATGTCAGTGTGGAAGAGCTGCTGTTGACCTATAATCGGGCAAAGGGTGCAAATATCATGAGATATTGCCCAGGCTAGGAATAAACATCCGCAGAAAGTTAGTCTTCCGTGGTAATTGTGTAGGGTTGGCCCCGTCCGGTTTTACGTTCACTGGTTTTACGTTTACATTTTAGTGAAAATCAAATAAATGTATTCATATTCCTTAATATTTCCAGCCTATGAATTTTCCGATATTAAAATGTCCCATCTTGACGCATTTATGTCTTTGTAATGACCACATGATTAATTTCTTTTCTTATCACAATACACCATACTATGTGTGTCCGGAATATATTCCTAATGTTCTCTAAAATTGTATTATTGACTCCAAGCGAAAATTGCCTAAATAAATTATCTGACGAGAACGATAGTAAAAATTCTGTATTATATTTTACCATTTTGCAAAATTTCTCAATTTGCATTGTTCAATTTCTTATTTTGTAAATTATCTCTTTCTAGTTTATAAAATTGGAATATTGTTCGAAACCTAAATATTAAGCCTCTTAAAAACTTATTATAACATATACCAATTTCGTATACCTTCCGTTACGGGTGGATATTTTAGATACTTTTGTTCCATTGTTCAAAAAATTAATTAATTAATATTAATCAGAACCCTCGGATGATGCCTGGGCATCCGATTGTAATATTAAGTTGATGGTTAGCCATTGAATGCACATAAAGTTATCTTGGACTTGCATAATGGACCCTATTCCATTAAGAGTTTAGACTTCATAAATAATATGGGTGTATTGTGTAGAGCAGTAAAACGTTGGTATTGTATATAAACATAGATAATAACGATATGCTACCCTTACACAACGACATGTGCCAAAGACATAACAGCAGTGAAAACATCGTCCAAAACCTGATGGCGTATAAAAAATAATTAATATCATAGACCACGAGTCCCTTTCCAGATTACGACATTGTGATGTAGGGCTTTAAAACGCATAACCTATTTTGCTCTACGGTTAATAACAATTTGTATGACTATGTTGCTCGACAATTAAAAGATTTGTAGTCATTGGTAAGTCTTGGTAATTTTTGATAGGGAGATTTGAAAACCAATTATAGGCAACGCGCCCATAATGCCAAAAATACCGGATAAGGAGGGGGCTCTCCAAAAATGGGGATCTCCAAAAATGGGTCGCTAATTCTTGTCGAATGAAAATGTGCCCATACTCCCCAAAATATCTAAATTTGGCAGGTACTGCTATATAGGGACTATTGATCATTTTTGATAGGAAGATTTATAACCCAATTAGAACCCATAGTACCGATTTACAGCTAATTTCATGGAAAACCCTGCCAAAAAGACCCAAAATACTGAATATATGGGGGTACCGTTATATGGTCGCTATAACAAAGCGTGGACCGATATACCCCATCTTCAATTTCAAATTCAAACAGATTCAAATTTTTAAACATCTAAATTCTATAAAAAGTCCTGCATATCTCCCTCCTGAGCTCTTCTGTAAGTAGACCTCCAGAGATCTTCTATCAGTAGACCTCCAGAGCTCTTTTATAAGAAGACCTCCAGAGCTCTTCTATAATATTTCCAGAGCTCTTTTATGAGAAGACCCCCAGAGCTCTTCTACGAGAAGACCTTCAGATCTCTTTTAAGAGAAAACCTTCAAAGCTCTTCTATGAAAAGAGCTTCAGAGCTCTTCTATGAAAATACCTTCAGTGAGAAAACATTCTATGAGAAGACCTCCAGCTCTTCTATGAGAAGACCTCCAGCTCTTCTATGAGAAGACCTCCAGCTCGTCTATGAGATGACCTCCAGCTCTTCTATGAGAAGACCTTCAGAGCTCTTCTATGAGAAGACCTTCAGAGCTCTTCTATGAGAAGACCTTCAGAGCTCTTCTATGAGAAGACGTTCAGAGCTCTTCTATGAGAAGACCTTCAGAGCTCTTCTATGAGAAGAACTTCAGAGCTCTTCTATGAGAAGACCTCCAGAGCTCTTCTATGAGAAGACCTCCAGTTCTCTTTTATGAGAAGACCTTCAGAGCTCTTCTATGAGAAGAGCTCTTCTATGAGAAGACCTCCAGAGCTCTTCTATGAGAAGACCTCCAGCTCTTCTATGAGAAGACCTCCAGAGCTCTTCTATGAGAAGACCTCCAGCTCTTCTATGAGAAGATCTCCAGCTCTTCTATGAGAAGACCTCCAGAGCTCTTCTATGAGAAGACCTCCAGAGCTCTTCTATGAGAAGACCTCCAGAGCTCTGCTATGAGAAGACCTCCAGAGCTCTTCTATGAGAAGACCTCCAGAGCTCTTCTATGAGAAGACCTCCAGAGCTCTGCTATGAGAAGACCTCCAGAGCTCTTCTATGAGAAGACCTCCAGAGCTCTTCTATGAGAAGACCTCCAGAGCTCTTCTTTGAGAAGACCTCCAGCTCTACTATGAGAAGACCTCCAGCTCTTCTATGAGAAGACCTCCAGCTCTTCTATGAGAAGACCTCCAGCTCTTCTATGAGAAGACCTCCAGCTCTTCTATGAGAAGACCTCCAGCTCTTCTATGAGAAGAACTCCAGCTCTACTATGAGAAGACCTCCAGCTCTACTATGAGAAGACCTCCAGCTCTACTATGAGAAGACCTCCAGCTCTACTATGAGAAGACCTCCAGCTCTACTATGAGAAGACCTCCAGCTCTTCTATGAGAAGACTTCCAGCTCTTCTATGAGAAGACCTCCAGCTCTTCTATGAGAAGACCTCCAGCTCTTCTATGAGAAGACCTCCAGCTCTTCTATGGGAATACCTCCAGCTCTTCTATGAGAAGACCTCCAGAGCTCTTCTATGAGAAGACCTCCAGAGCTCTTCTATGAGAAGACCTCCAGAGCTCTTCTATGAGAAGACCTCCAGAGCTCTTCTATGAGAAGACCTCCAGAGCTCTTCTATGAGAAGACCTCCAGAGCTCTTCTATGAGAAGACCTCCAGAGCTCTTCTATGAGAAGACCTCCAGAGCTCTTCTATGAGAAGACCTCCAGAGCTCTTCTATGAGAAGACTTCCAGCTCTTCTATGAGTAGACTTCCAGCTCTTCTATGAGAAGACCTCCAGATCTTCTATGAGAAGACCTCCAGCTCTTCTATGAGAAGACCTCCAGCTCTTCTATGAGAAGACCTCCAGCTCTTCTATGAGAAGAACTCCAGCTCTTCTATGAGAAGACCTTCAGAGCTCTTCTATGAGAAGACCTTCAGAGCTCTTCTATGAGAAGACCTTCAGAGCTCTTCTATGAGAAGACCTTCAGAGCTCTTCTATGAGAAGACCTTCAGAGCTCTTCTATGAGAAGACCTTCAGAGCTCTTCTATGAGAAGAACTTCAGAGCTCTTCTATGAGAAGACCTTCAGAGCTCTTCTATGAGAAGACCTTCAGAGCTCTTCTATGAGAAGACCTTCAGAGCTCTTCTATGAGAAGACCTCCAGCTCTTCTATGAGAAGACCTCCAGCTCTTCTATGAGAAGACCTCCAGCTCTACTATGAGAAGACCTCCAGCTCTACTATGAGAAGACCTCCAGCTCTTCTATGACAAAATCTTCAGCTATTCGGTCTAAAGTCTTGTAATGTACAGGTTATATGAGAACTCCAACAGCACAGGGTCAAGTATTAAATTAATGAGGCTATCTATATTATATTTACTATGATGTAGTTCCTGGTGTCCCTATATTATTTACATAAACTATTTCTTTCATTATGCATTTTGTCAAGTCTTTAAATTTTGCATTCCTGCACTACCAACATCATACCGAAATAATATATAAAAAAGATATACACAATTACTCACCGTTATAAAACGATAACCCATTACCGATATTGTACCGGCAATGATTCCAATTAAAACAGCGCCATGGGCACCAATCAGCAAATTACAGACAGTGCCAACGGCAACACCTCCGGCCAATGTTGAATTCTGAACGTGCACCATATCCAATTTGTTCTCGTGGCTGACAAGTGCCGATAAAACAAACGTAGTGACTGAAATTGAAAATGTTGGTTATACAATTAATTGTGGCCAAAAAATAGATCGGTACGTATTTTATTGAAAACCAAATGAAACGAAAGCAAAAAACAAACACTTTTTATTGATTTTTTATATGAAATACAAGCAAAAACTCTACACAAAATTGTTACGTTTAGAAGACAAAGTTTTCAAAATAAAATAACATTCTGCAATTTCGATGTTTAATTGTATAAATGTGTTTGTGTAATTCAGACGTAGAGTATCCTATGCGGTTGAGTAAAATTTGAATATTTTCTAACTTCATCATTAGATTGTTCTGAATAAATTTTATTTTACATTTCAACGAGGCAAATGTGTTTAAAAAATATGTTTATTATATATCGGATCAGAGATCGGATACCAGATTTTGTGAGACATTAAATTTTGAATTTAAATTCCTCTGTTAAGTCAGTCATCATGTTTTTCTTCACAAATTGACAGACTTGACTTGACATACGTTGAACTTGACATACGTTATTCTAGACTCAGTTCGGAAGTCTATGTTAATTCTCAATTGGACAAACGTAGATCCATTCGTGCGCCATTAGTATGAAATCGAACGATAATATATATCTGGGACCTTTAAATAAATCTGAACATCAAAACTCAACTCGTGTCAAAGTCTTTATTAAAGCACTTCCCCTCATATTTGTTTTCTGGTTAGCGTGGATAACCGAAAATATTATATACAGCTTCCATTAAATGAAGCCACTGAAAACGCTAGAGGCACGTGGTTAAGGTGGTTATGCAGAACAACATTCAATACCCATTTAACTCGTATATATGTAATGCTCTACTATGTGAGTGTTGACAAAGTATATTGATATTCCGCTCACAAACTAATTAAATGTCAAATGATTACATTCACAAATATTGTGATTTTTTTGGCACGCTTTTACAAAATGGCTATACATGTGGGCAGGAAAGCGCTTAACGAAAACTGAAATCAATTAACAAAGGCTATGCTATGGTACAAAGCCATGCCATGGTAAATTGGTATTCAATAAAACCCTATTATATCAAAATAAAACTAATTCGTTTGAAAAACATCCGAAAAATCCCAAAAATACGAAATAAAGGGAGCTTTGAAAGCACAATGTTCTACCCAATGATAATCCAATGGCATTCACCTTCTGCGTGAACTATCAGTAGGCTCGCTTTTATATGCCTTTTGAGCTGGGGCATTCTCATTTAGCGTCTTGCAAAGTGGGAGTTTGGTCTGGCGGGAGGTGGCTTAGTTTCTAAACTGCTTAATTATACCATTTCAACACTGATGTAATTTGTTTTATTTATGGCGGTACCAAGGTATACAAAATCGTTAACTACCTCGAAATTGTAGTTCTCAAGTTAGTCCTACTGGACGTCTTGCGCGTCGATACCATCAGCTTGGTCTTTTCGCCATTTACTGTCAGACCCACTTTGGCAGACTCCTTTTTAATATGTTCAAATGTGGCTTTTACCGCTCGCAATGTTCGACCCATATCGATGTCGTCGGCGTAGGCGAGTAACATGTGCTGTTTGGTGTACAGAGTGCCATTTCTGTTCACGTATGACCTTTTGTCATGTCACCTTGTCTGAATCCTCGTTTGGTTTTGAAGGGCTCCGTTTGATCATTTCCGACTTTAACTGCTGGCCTTGTGCCACTTAAAGTTATCCTGCAAAGCTGTATTAATTTTACAGGAATGCCGAACGCAGACATGGCTTTAAATACCTCTGATCGGATAGGACTGTCGAATGCGGCTTTATAGTCGACGGAATGTGTCGATGTATTTTTCGTGGGTCTTTTCCAGGACTTGGCGAATAGTGAAAATCAGGTCAATAGTCGATTTGCCAGGACTGAAGCCGACCTCATATTGGCTAGGTGGTATACACTGTATAACGTCATCTCTTATTGATTCTGGGGTATCTTCTTCTACTACTGCAGGGTTGCCCTGCGTTTTTCACATCAGTAGCATAACGACACTCCTGATCGTACCACGGGCCATTGTGCTTCTATACTATTATCAACTTATCCACCTGCTTTCGTCAAGCAGGTGGATAAGTGGATACGTCTTTTTTAGGTGGATAAGTTTTTTTTTATATATTTAAATATTGCGAGGTCAATTTCAACAGACAGGCGGACGGACTTGGATAAATCGACATAGAATTTTTCGCTGATCATTAATTATATACCTTATTGGGCCATAGGTGAGTATTTCAAGGTGTTGTTGTACCTTCTCGATACAAGAAAATCGGTTCAGATTTAGATATAGCTCCCATATATATTTTCGTATGATTTTATGTAATTTGTGCATTAAATACCCAATGTCTGTCCGATTGTCACACAATTATGTACAATGAAGTTAATATACATTAATCTCTGGCAAGTTTCGTTGAAATCGGTTCAGATTCAAATATAGCTCCCAAAGAAATCCATTTGAAATTCAAAGAATCCAATTTGAAATTCATAACATTTCAGTTGCAATTCATAAAATTTCAGTTGTAATTCATAACAATTCATTTCAAATTCATACATATTTCTTTTGTGTTACCAATAATATTTTTCGAATTTAAAATTAAATGTTATGAAAAACAAATGGAATGTTATGTATTTCAAATCAAATGTTAAGAATTTCAAATGGAATTATTTAAATTTCAAATGGAATTATTTAAATTTCAAATGGATTTTTATTAATTTCAAGTGGAATTTTATGAATTTCAAACGCAAATACTTGGAATTTCTAATGGAAGTTTATGAATTTCAAATGGAATTCTATGAATTTCGAAAGGTATTCTAAGAATTACAAATGAAATTCTCGAATTAACAATTGATATGTTATGACTGGCAAATAGAATTCTCGAATTGCACATTATATGTTGTGAATTACAAATGCAATTCTCGAATTACATTTGATATGTTTTGAATAACATGTGAAAAAGGTGTAGATTTGCGTTCCCGAACTTTTCAAATTATTTTGTACTCTGAGAGCAATTATGAAATGTTTCCCTTTCAGATTTTTTTTAATGGGTTTAAGAGAATTTCTAACAAACAGTCAGGATATTTTATTGATCCTGTTATGGTTACGATAAAAATTATTAAAAATTTAATCAAAATAAAAAAATATTGGATGTGTTAAAAAAACCAAAAAAGGGTTGTTGTACTTTCCACCATTATGAGGTTTTCAAAATCACTAAAATTGATGTGGGCGATGGGGTGAATTGCTGCTAGGAGAAAATTCACGGTGAACCAATATTACGAGTTTTTGTTAGAAATTGCCATACAATAAGAACCCAAAATATCAAATTCCTGCCAATTCGATTGAAATACGTGAACCCCGAAAATAACGAAGTTGATCGAATCATTATTCATTATTTAAATAATATATTAAGGGGATGCCGACCGTCCTATCCCTTTACCCCGCAAAATTAATACGGCTATGCAGGATAACTTTAAGTGGCACAAGGTCAGCAGTTAAAGTCGGAAAGGACCTATAGGAGCCCTTCAATACCGAACGAGGATTCAGACAAGGTGACAGTTTGTCGTGTGATCTTTTTAACATCCTGTTAGAAAAGGTCATACGAGACGCAAAGATAAACAGAAATGACACTCTGTACACCAAACAACACCTGTAACTCGCCTACGCCGATGACATCGATATAATGGGTCGAACATTGCGAGCGGGAACAGCCACCTTTGAACAAATTGAGAAGGAGACTGCCAAAGTGGGTCTGGCAGTAAATGGCGAGAAGACCAAGCTGGTGGTATCAACGCGCAAGACGTCCAGTAGACTCGGATCAACTGTGGAACTTGAGAACTACAGTTTCGAGGTAGTTAAAGATTTTATATACCTTGGTACCGCCATAAATAAAACGAATCACATCAGTTTTGAAATGCGTAGAAAGATTGCGATGGCCAACAGATGATACTGTGGTCTAACAAGAAACCTGCCGCCATACTAAACTCACACTTTACAAGAAGCTGATACTACCTGTGATGTTATATGGATCTGAAGCATGGGTACTTGCGCAAGCCGATGATGCAGCTCTTGGGGTGTTTGAAAGAAAAATTCTCCGAAAAAAACTACGGACCGATCTGTGTCGACGTCAGTCGTATTGAGCTGCAGCGACTACGGTGGCTAGGCCATGTTGTTCCACTTAATGGGGATGGGAATGCCCCAGCTCAAAAAGCATATAAAAACGAGCCTACTGATGATTCTCGTAGAAGGGGAAGGCCACGAATTAGATGGATAGCTCTTTTTTAAGCTCGGCTTATGGAACAACCGTTCTGTAACAAGCCAGCTATGTAAGTAAGGGCATGCCGCTATATGGGGCTACGCCAAAACGCCGATATATCCCATTTGCAATACCACACATCCAATTGTTGACGAATGACAAATTTGTAGACACTCCTCCTTATGGTGGATGTTATATATATATATATATATTAGAGTTGGGTAGTTCCGGAACGAACTAGTTCATTGGAACTATTCCGAGAAAGGAACGATTCGAACTAGTTCCAGATCTTTAATTAATATAGTTCCTTTTTCTAATCTCGTTCTTTTTTCTTTTCCATTTTTTCTCGTTCCTTTTTTCTGATCTCGTTCCTTTATTCCCATATTCTTCATTCGTTATTATTTTATTATTATTATTTATTATTATTTATTTATAAAAAAAATATTTTTTGCTTATCGCCCTGCAGTTGAATTCTGTAGCTTCATTTCATTTTTGCACAATTTTCAATTTTTGCATTTATTAACAAATCAACACGGAACTATGTGAGCGGAAAAAAAACAACGATGAAAGTGAGAGAGATTCAAAGGAACTATGTAGGAGCAAAGGAACTGTATGGAGTAAAGGAACTATATGGAACAAAGGAACTATAAATAGGAAATGAACTGTATGGGGCAAAGGAACTATATGGATCAAAGGAATTATATGGAGCAAAAGAACTGTATGGAAAAAACGAAAAAAGAACGATGAAAGAGAGAGATTCAAAG